TCTTGCGAGTTTCGGCGAGGGCTGCATTGACACGTCGCAGTTCACTTTCCGCTTCTGAAAGTCGCTGACGTAGAGGTTGAATTTCACGGTTCACAAAGAACCAATTGTACATGGCACGCACCCACTGACACATCGCCATACATGGCACGGAAACTGTCCTAACCTTTTCCGGCAGGAACTCCTCATTGTCGTAGTATCCCTTCACTTTCTCAATCAGTGGCATGTCCATCGCCTCGCGGTCAAAAGCCACCCTTCTCGGGGGGTTGTACCAGGGTGTCGAGCAACTGATTCGCATTTTTCATGTAAGACTTGGCGCACAACCACCAATCTGGGGTCTTCTTGCCGCCTGGTGGTCCTGTATAAAACTCTCTCGGGCAATTCCCAAATGTGAGCAGCACTGCAACAGCCTCCATCACGTACTGGACACCCTTGGGCGGGCTCTGGTACTTGTTCAGCTCGGAAATCTCAGCCGCTTTAATCTTCGAAAGCACCTTCACGGCCTCCTGCAAAGCAGGCTCAGCCTCCGCCAACCGATCTGCACACTCCCGGCGCATCTTTGAACATTCCTCTGCCTTTGCCGTCGCAAGGGCCTCCTCATGACGCGCCGATGTCTCCTTTTCAGCAGCATCCTTACGGTCCACACGTAGCCGCTCCATAATTTCCTGAATTTCCGTCTTTTTCCTCTCCAAGATGGGTTGCTGTGCCTTCAGCTGAGTCTCCAGCTCCACAACCCGATTCTCTGTGTCGTACAATTTCTCCAGGCCGTTCTCTAAGCGGCTGCACTGCTCCAAGACAAATCGCCGTTTATTCTCCACAAGAAAAATGTAATTGTTGAGCAGCGAAAGGTAGGAAGTCGGCGTCACGTAAGAACGACGGTGTGTCTCTAAAAAGAAACGCTCCGTCGTCTCAGATGCAGACAAATGCATTGACTTAAAGCATTCGGAAAGGTGTTCCATCTCCATATCCTCCATTTTCATATCCGTGTCTGCCAGCTGCGCACTGGCCACAGAAATAAGTGCCTCACCAGGCCACTCCGCAAACCAGTCTATCGTACAGCATGTAATCAATGAAGGAAACATACGGATTCGAGTACGAAAGGCTTCACCAATGGGAGAGAAGGCTAACACAATATGAAGGTTAGAACGAACCTCCTTAATAAACCTTGCATACACGGACACCTTGGTCGTGGGTAGATTTTCGCTCATGCAAACGCCTTTAAATTTTTCGTTGATCAGCTCAATGTCCTGATCCTCAAACAGGTTGGGTACATCACCGGAAGTAAGAAGACCGGCCACATCTTCCATAAGTGTGGGATGAACCAATTGCGTATCCGAAAAAAGAAAGGTACGCTTCTTATCGTCCTTTCCGCAATCAAGTAATAATTTCGCCAGAGCCTCATGCCACTCCTTGACTCCAAAGTTCTTTGTGAATTCAATCGTGAAGACGTCCATATCGGGAATAAGAAAACATGCGAGCCGTGTCAGGGACTTGCGACCGGAGCCACCGATACCCAGCAGTAGGCAGTGACCGTTCGGTAAACACAAGACCCTGGAAATGCGACACACGTGCTCAATGGCATCAAGAAATAATACAAGATCCATCACAGTCTCGTTGGCGTCGTTGTAGGCGCTTAGCTGGTCATCAAAAAAAATGGAGAGAGCGTTCATATCACTGATTGGCGGTAGGATCGCT